CATCAGGGAGGAGCGAGCGAGCGGCTGTGTGGTGCTGAGTTGCTGGCTGGGGTTAAACCACAACAGTCTTTAATAAAAGATGCCCATGATCTGTGAGCCTGTCAAAGACCAACTCATCATATCAGTACAGGCATGGTCAATCAGGGTGTTTCTGAAATGGGTGAATTTACAAACAGTAGACAGTTAATTTCCAATTGAGGTTATGGCAAGTGCTAGCATAGCTTTTTTCCAGGAGCTGACTAGCTAATTGACACATGCTCTTCATTTCCTTCTTGTTTACAGATTATTCAAATTAAGCTGCAGAAATATCAAAAAGTTCACCTGTAGCTGGAAGACCTCCTTAGGATTTGTCACCAATGCAGATTATTGGGGGAGAAAAAAAAAATCACAGATGTTTGTTTGGCAAAAGCTCTGAGTCTAGAAAGCTTGAGCAGTTTCCCAGCAGCCAGGAAAGATTCCAAAACTCACTTGGAGCTGTGGTTACACTGCCTTTTCCAATACATTTGAGTAGAACAACCTGAATAGGATTAGTTCAGAAATGTTTCCCGGCTTGTTTCTATTTATGGCAAGGAAATGTTTGGCTAGGGCTCAGTCGATCCTGACTTTGCAGTGTGAGTGACTAAGCACCATTAAGAAGTTCTCAGGAAGGCTAAGCATCTTAGTTAGTCTTCAAAGCCTAGATTGACTGACTGTCAAAAGCTTTAGTGCAGTTAGAGGCCAAGTAGAGATCTTGAGGTCACTTCTGGTGGTCCTTTTCTCATCCATGCTGAGTAGTGCAATAATTACTACGGTGTGCAAATCACCTGGAGTACACTGCCTTCTCTGGATACAACCGGTAACACTTTAGGGGCCTATGTACAAACCAATGACAAACATCACAAGTAGACCTGTCACTTCACTACCTACCCACTGCTCTGGGATTATTCCATCAAATCTTAGCATACATTATAACTGGGTTGGCTTTTACTCATTCTGGCTTGTGTGGGACTATCATCATTCTCTTTCTTCTTCATGCTAAAGCTGGTGGTATACTACCCCACAAAAAAAGGAGAAAAAAAAAAAAGACTGTAAGCACAGTGATGGTTTCACTCTGCAGTTATCTGTGAAGTTATTGAGATTCTCTTGAGGCAAAAGACCCAGCAAGTCTGACCCGCACCAACTAATGATCTGTGGGATCGCACTGGTATGTAGGCCAACACTACATTCCTCATTGCCTCAAATATCTGCTAGGAATAGTGGTTGCTTATGTGGTATCTGTAGAATACTGATCAAGAAATGAGCAGGTGATCGTCTCTCTGTAGAATACTGATCAAGAAATAAGCAGGTGATCGTCTCTCTCCTTTTCTAGGAGCGGTAAATAACAGGATCAGTAAGAAAAGGTGGGCAAAGAAGACCAAAGCCAACTGGATTCATTTGGTATCAGGGATTTGTGTGGCCAATGAAGATGCACTGCTGGGGACTAAGTGACTCGTGAACATTTAACAGTGGCTCTGTCACAGCTGGACTCTGTCATAGTTGAGTACAAAGATGTTGCAAACTAGTTGGGTCTGATTGCTTCTTCCCCAGCTGTGCAAGATGCTTGGGCTTTGGACTGGGGCATAAAACACTGCTGAGAGATTTCAGACATCAGAGGCCGGAAGGTCTGAGTGGGCAACGTGAAGTAAGGAGGTTAAGCAGAATTGATCTCCTTTGTAAACAGGATGTGGTTATTGGGTAAGAGCTGGAGGGCCCAGAGAAGCTCTGAAATACAGCAGCTAAATCCTGAGAGATAATGGGGACATTCGATGAACTATAAAATTAAAAGGCCGACTACTGTTCCCACTGACCTCCAAGTGAGAGGGAAGGTTGCCACTAATTTTTTACAGGAAGAGTTGAAGTCCCAGAAAGCATTGCTTTGTTGAATGGCATCAACTAGAAAGTATGCGGGAAGAGACTGCTGGTGTCTCAACCTTGTGTATATCATTTGCTTAAATGTTTGCAAGTATTGGTACAATGTTGCAATAATGAATGAGGTTCTCCTGGTGTTGCACGCTAACGTAAACAGAAACTGAAATCCAATCTCTCTTCTAAAAATGTTTAGCCCAGTTGAAGAACAGATTCAAGGGCCAAGCACATAGGAGGTAAGAACATGAAAGTGACTGTAGTATGCAAAACCAGTGCTTTCAAAGTCCTTTAATTCTTCATCCAGTTTTGAGTTTTATTGTTGTGTTTTTTTTTTTCCTGTAATTTAATATTACTATAAATAATGAGGCTAGTTGTGCTATGAAAGTTATAACTAGGAGTGTTTGCAGGGCCAGGCCTAACATAGGCTGACAACAGAACTCAAATGGAGTATAACTTACATTCTTAAAGTTATACCTGTACACGTCTTTACCTGTAACGGTCTGTATTTACCATTTAGTCAAACATGGCCAAATTCTACAAGTTTTCTTCCCAGTTTAGTGTGTTACAATAAGCATGTGTGAGTAGATGGAAAAAGTAGACATTATTTCTGTAACTTATAAACTGTTGGCTAAAATATGTAATGGACAATTAAAGACATACTGAAAATGTACACATTTCTCTCTTAAAATTAATTTTTATATCAGATATTTACTGATCCTTATTTAAGTCTACTTCTTTTATTTCTAGGACTTTTGCCACCTCTGGAAGCATTCTTTCACATTTGATCAAGATGATTTGAGGAAGTCTCCAATAGTCCTGGTAACACAGGGGAACAGCTATGTAAGTTCATAGTCACTTTTTGTAAGAATATGTAAACTGTCTTGGTTTCTTTCAAATGCTGCTATATCATATACCTGCTGGTAACATGGCTGTAAACTGTCATGGGGTTAAGGGTCTAAGGGTTTGTGGAATTTTTACTTTTGAGGTTGTGATGACGGCTGTATCATAACTATTTTGCTGCATTCTGATGACGCTTATCCCTCTGTGCACCTTTACTGTGCTAATAAAGCATGCCTGGCCATCAGGCTGAAAACACCACTTAAAAGGACCATTTTACCATGTGCAGAGCCTTTTACTGCTAAGGCATTGACGCTGTGGCTAGGAGATGCGAGCCGATGTCTTGAATCACAACTCTACAAGTTTTCCCTCCAAAAGTGATGATTGATCTTCCAGTTCATTTTAGTTGAAAAGAAAGTTCAGGAAAGAGTCACAAATAATAATTACCTTCAGCAATATAACAACAGCTGAGACAAGAGTAATATCTATTACCTGGCCACTGACTAGGTAATCCAAAAATGTCATCTAGTACTAAAAGAAAAATAAAAGCAGAATACAGAATACAGAATACTGTACAACAGCGGTTAGCGGAAAGAAACGTTTAACTCTGTGCCAGCTGCTTAAACCACTTTGGCTGCCGCAAGAAGGAATGGAAGCACGTTCGCAACCCCAGCGCCTCGCCTCGCAACGCGAGGGCTGGCGGTGACTTCTTCGGATGGCGCCGGCCGGCTCCGCAGTAGCCCTCGGAGCGGCCGGTTTTGGCTACGAAGAGCTAACGCTCGCTGGCCACCGGCACGGTGGTTCGGGTGAGGGCACGGGGGGATCACACC